GTGCACAAATTAAAACAAAAAAAAAAAATTAGTACCAGATGCTAATTAACAAACTGGTGGATTTGGACATTTAGTGCGGGCGACGAAAATGCAGAAGGAAAATTAGCAATACAACACCAGATGCTAATTAACAAAAATAGCACCATAGTTAGCACAAAAAATTAGTTGAGATGTATTTGTCGGGGGGTAACAGAACTTGTCGGTGCCGGTGTATTTGCCGAAAAAATAGTCGCTGAAAAGAATTGTCGGTACCAGAGATGATGGACGTTCTTGGGTGCACGGCGGCGCGAGGAATCCGAAAGTGTCCTCGGATTTTGGTGGGTCGCCGTCTATAGCCGAGAAATTGAAGAAGACGACTGGATTTTGACCAGAATGTCTAAATCTAAAATTTCGACCGAAGCAATTGACGACATTATTGGTCAAATTTCACCTCAAATTTTAAGAGGTGAATGAGGACGGGAAGAGCTTCAAGTTGATATAAAAAAAATTCCGATCGGAGATGGTCGACCGGCGGCCGGCGGAGGGAGATGGGTGAAGAGCTAAAATATGGTTAGAATTATAGGGGCTCATCTTGGAAAATTTAATATGTTATATGGAATATTTTATAATTTTATTTAATTAATTGCAACTAAGGCCTAAGGTGAATCATTGAATTTTAAAGTCAAAGTTTCCTAATCCCGCCACATAAGCTACAATCATGCCACGTCAGATTTAAAAATGCCATGTCACGGCACGTCACAATTTTATCTAAAGTGCGGATAAAATGGAACCAACAATGATTAAATTATCTAATTATTGAACCCAGTTTGAAAGTGGTCAATGACGAGGTAGGTTTTTGGACAGTGGCCAAATTATATGACCAATTTTGAATTTTTGCTTGTTAACCACTATCGAATTGCACAATAGAGATCCAAACCAACCAAGCTAAATTTTTTTGGATAAAAAATTTATATTTCTTTTCAATTATCTATTTTTATTTTCAAAATATCAGATATCACGGTGGAATTTTGGTTAAATTGTGAAATTTTAAATGTGTAAGCGAACACAATTCATTAATTTCATAAAAAAATATTACGCGAATTTTTATTGTACAATGTCCTCGATAAATAGTGTGCATCAAAATTATTGTGCAAATAAATTATTGTTCAAATAAATAAAAGTTATCAAAATTGCATCTAAGTCCCCTAAACACATCTACTTCATCAACAAATTACCCAACAACCAAAATAAACTTTCTGAAATTACAATTAAGTCCCTATAACTTATCAACTTTACAAAGGGAAGCCCCCAGTTATAACGGCAAATCCCCCGGACCCCAGCCATCTCCACCGCCGCTTGTCGAGAAGCTCATTCGTCAGATGTGCCCGTGGCCCAAATTGAACAAAGCAAGCACGAAATGACCAAAATAGTTAAAAAACATACAGCAACACGCAGTAGTGCTGCCGTCGCAACACACAACATGTAGTCGCCGCCGGCCCTAAGATCTTTCGCAACAAGAGGCCAACAGCTTGCCTGGGTCGTCCTTGTAACAACAAATTTTACTTAAACCCCACTGGGCGTGCCAAATTTGTAACAACAAATTTTATGAAAAACATAAAATTTTTGTACAACTTGAATATATATTGATCAAACAATATGCGAGTACAATCTCTATATGTATCTTCTGATTCTTCTCTTGATGGATCTTTAACTTGAATTTCGTGATCGTCAAGAACACCTTGGATCTTCAAGAGAATTATTGAGAGCTCTTTGAATTGAGACTTAGATTTATGAGGTGTTGGATTTTTTTGAGGTATTTCAGGTATTTGAGGTGTCTTAGGTATGTTGGATTTTTGAGGTGTTTCAGGTATGATTTGTGGCATTGAGGAGAGCCCTATTTATAGGTGTAGGAGAGAGTCCTGGAGAAGAAGACATCAATTTGATTGGTCCTTCTTGATTTGATATAATCTCTTTCCTTATCCTAAGATTTGATATAATCTCCTTCCTTATCCTAAGATTTGACTTGGTGAGCAAAAAATATTTATTTTATTAATTAAATATCTTATTTATCTTGGATTTATGTCCCAAAATAAATAAAGATAATAATTAATAAAATATTAAAATTTCGATGTCTACAGTCCTCCTAAAGGCTTCCCTCAATTGCCGCCCTCGCCTCTGCCAACCACCTCGTCTCTGCCAACCGCCTCGTCGCCTCGACTCGACTACATCCTCCGACGCGTCGCCTCGCCTCGTCACTTCGCCTCCGTCCACCATCGCATCGCCTCGTCTTTGTCCGTCGCTGTGTCGTCTCGCCTCCTTCTACCATCTCATCGCCTCTAGTTGAAGTGTGTGTGTGTGTGCAGGGGCGTGTGTGCCTGTGCAGGTGTATGTGCGCGAAATTTGTGTAAGTGGTTGTGCGTGTTAGTGTGTGAGAGAGAGGGGAGGGTTGGTTAGATAGTGGTGGGCCCACAAGTGTGTGCATGAGTGAGTGAATGCTTAATGACCAATTTGTTCTTACTGAGGAGTCAAATGCATACATTTGACCACGAATTGTACACCTATTTTACGAAATTGTCATCGCCTGTTTGACTATAATATTTAACATTTGACTTGATCATGATCATTGATATGTTAGATCCAATAGTACATATTTATTCTTATTTTTTCACTATCTACTAACTTTATACATGCATGAAATTTATATATATATATATATGTATACGCATGAAATTTAAACATCAGATACCAACCCCAAAGGCCAGCAATAAAAACTTCATTGCCCCACCTCCATTAATGCCCTCGCACCATCTCTACACCATCTGCAATTACTCTTCATCCCCTCTTCATACCCTTCTTTCTCTCTCTTCAACCTAATCTTCTTCCTTTCTGTTCTTTCTACATCTTTTCTAATTTCATTTTCTTTTCAAGAAAATTTGTTATCTTAATTGTCCTTTTCTTTCTCTTTCATCCCCATATGCATGCCAGGAATACTTCATAAATTCTATTCACAAGAAAGGCACCATCTGCAATAAACCCCAAG